AACCAATGGGAAAATATCTTTGGGTGAGATTAACAACAACAAAAATATTCAAGTTGGATCCTACTCTGTATTATAATCAAGCTATGAAAACTGGTACCTTCCTCATTTCTAGATTCCTTTTGCCTCTGTGAACCTACAACTAGCCCTGCAGACATATCCATTTATTTCTATCAATGATGTTTCTGCTAAAAGTTCCCTGGAGCATCCCCATGTGAGCAGAGCTGAAGGATCAAACAAGTTAGTGGGCCTATGAAGCTTCAAGAGGCTTCAGATTGCTCCAAATTCCAAAGCAATTCCCTTACAAAAGTCTAAAACAAACAAACAAACAAAAAACACCCTTAGAAATCTAATGAGGGCTTCCAACTCTAACCTTCGATGTTTTAGGCCAAATTTTATGCTATAACCAATGTCTCCCCAATCTTCATTGATCATAAGGGAAAAGTAAAAATCAAAGACAACAGTTCTCAGAACACACTCAATCCTACTAAATACTTCAGACCTAACGCCTTACCTATCTAGAAAAAGAATGAAGAAACAATTTATATGGGGAAGATTTAGTCCAATTTTGATCTTTCACTTGTTGGGATTTAATAGTGAACCTCCCTAACTGGGATCACTGACAAGCATGTCAACCTCACCGCTGGCAGGCCACATGCTTCGTAGGTCTATGCAACATAGACATCTGGTACACTAAAATACACGCTGCTGCTTAATACTCTCACTATTTGTAACACTATTAATTCTATCAGAAGCACCAAGGATCGAAACATGCCTCTTTAGTCTCTCCCCCACTGCAAGGCCAAAGAAGAAACCCTCTCCCTTCAGTAGCCAGTGTACACCCCCCCCCCCCCATCAGTCTAGACTAGTGGCAGCAGCAGCCCAACACTGACACCTGCTGGGGAAATACAAGCAAGGGTTTGTACTGTACTGTGATCATCAGCTCAAAAATGTCATGGCCCTTTAGAAGTAGTAGAAGATGCCAATTAGCACCTGTTTGTCTTAGTGACTTATACTAGAATGTAGCCATTCAATTCATGAGGAAGTGATGGCCCTTCTTTAAAGGGTGTGCACTTATAAATTTTAAAATATACCTCATTTTTTAGTAGAATGTCAGCATTCATGGTATACCTCATCCTCGCTCATCTAAAAGTGACTCCTTACATAATGTAACTTACTGTATTAATATACAATTTTACAATAAACATGCATTTGTTATATATTTTAAATTTTTTAAAGCATATATGTAAAATTGTTTACAAGATGACAAAGGACTTCATTTTCTACAATATACATTTTTTAATGCTATAACTTTATTTAAACCACACACATAGTACTTTTTCTCTACAAAAATTTTTGGTAGATCCTTAATAGTTTCTGGATTTTATTTTATTTTTTAAATCCTCACCTGAGGATATGTTTTTATTGATTGTAGAGAGAGAAACATCGATCATTTGCCTCCTGCATATGCCCTACCTACAGATCCGATCAGGCCAGTGACCTAGGTATGTGCCCTGACTGGAAATCGAACCCACAACCTTTTGGGTATACAGGATGACACTCCAACCAATTGAGCCATCCAGCCAGGGCAGTTTCTGGATTTTATTTACTTATTTAAATGGTTTTTTAATTGATTTTTTAGAGAGAGAGAGAGAAGGAGAGAGAGACAGAAATACCCGAGAGGCAATCATCAATCAGCTACCTCCTGTACACCCACATGTGCCCTGACTAGGAATCAAATCGTTGACCTCTTGGTGCCTGGGACAATGCTTAACCAACTGAGTGACACGGGTTGGGCCATTTTCTGAATTTTAAATTGGCTAACTTTATTAAGAAGTAATCATGCCCTGGCCGATTTGGTTCAGAGGATAGAGCACTACTAGCCTGTGGACTGAAGGGTCCCAGGTTCGGTTCCGGTCAAGGGCATGTACCTTGGTTGCAGGCACACATAGTACTTTTTCTATGTGTGCAGGAGGCAGCTGATCGACGTTTCTAACTCTCTATCCCTCTGCTTTCCTCTCTGTAAAAAATCAATAAAAAATATTTTTTAAAAAAGAAGTAATCATTAATATTTTAGTCACATGAGGCTAATTACATTTAAATTAAAGTTTAAAAATTTAAATGTAGATCCTCAGATAACATTAGCTGCATTTCAAACTTTTTGAATGCCTTCTGTATGTCAGGAACTGTGCTTGCTACCTTCTCAGCTCTCCTGACAAAGAGGAAGAACAGGATCCACAGCTGGCTAGTGGCTACTGTCCTGAACAGCACAAATACGGAACATCTCATCATTGTAGAAAGTTTTCGTGAACAGCATTTCTTGCAGTGGTTCTCAACCTTCCTAATGCCGCGACCCTTTAATACAGTTCCTCATGTTGTGGTGACCCCCAATTTCATTGTTACAAATTGAACATAATTAAAGCATAGTGATTAATCACAAAAACAATATGTAATTATATATGTGTTTTCCAATGGTCTTAGGCGACCCCTGTGAAAGTGTCGCAACCCCCAGGTTGAGAACCGCTGCAAGAAACACGTTGGATTACTTTCAGACAAATTATATAACATCTAGATGGGGGATTGGATAGGAGACAAAAATGAAGTCTGAAAGAAGTCTGGCCAAATATTAATGTTTTAAAATCATGTTTACTATACTTTTCATTTTTATATGTTTAAAGATTTTCATAATAAAAAAGTTAAAAGAAAGGAAAAATAAACAAAAAATGGCTTGCCTAAAGAGGAGATTGTCCCATTAGGAATACATCATGGAGGGCAGCTTGGAAAAATCTTCAGTCATCAAACCAGAGTTCAAATCCACTCAGTGACCTATTATGGGACCTTTAACAAGACACTGGACTTCCCTGAGCCTCACTTTGTTCAACTGTAAGATGGGAAATTTAATAGCTGCCTTGCACAAAGTTGCTGTGGGAAACAGAAATAATCCATGCAAAGCAAGAACATACTACCTAACACATAGTAGGCCCTCAGTAACTGATGTCTCTATTATCAAACAGCAGAGTTTACTTTAAACCATGTAGGTATTTCTCAGAATAACAATGAAGAGGTCCTGTTGGAAGAGGATGGACAAAGGCTGAGCAGAAGTCCACTACTGCTCTGGAAACAGACACTGGTAGGCTTTTAATGTAGTAAATCAGTGGTTCTCAACCTGTGGGTTGCGACCCCTTTGGGGGTCGAATGACCCTTTCACTGGGGTCACCTAAGACCATCGGAAAACACATATATAATTACATATTGTTTTTGTGATTAATCACTATGCTTTAATTATGTTCAATTTGTAACAATGAAATTGGGGGTCACCACAAGATGAGGAACTGTATTAAAGGGTCGTGGCATTAGGAAGATTGAGAACCACTGCAGTAAATGAAGACAATCCTTTTGTGGCTACCTTTAATAAACTTTTTGAATACCTTCTATATGTCAGGAACTGTGCTTGCTACCTTCTCGGTTCTCCTGACAAAGAGGATGAACAGAATCCAAGACTCGAGGTGTAAGGTAAAATATTCCAAAGCCAGAATTTTGAAAATGTTAATCCAGAATTGGCCTCAATCACATGGGCATAGCAACAACCGCTATTTTTTTTATCTTTTATGTCCAACCAAGTTCCCCTGTTCCCCTTAGGAACCACCTACTGTCTTGCATACATCATGCTCTTCCTCCCCTAGTATGGACTGTTCCCCTAAAATAAAAGTTCTCTCTCTCTCTCTCTAAATCCTACCCATCTTTCAAGACATGATTTTGTAATGCTTTCTTTGATTCTTCCCTTTTTCTAAAATTATACTACATTTAATCTCAGAAACTTACAATAAAGCATTCAGTTCCCTACATTTTTTATATACTTTCATGTAAATAAGGCTTGCCTCTACAATAACAATATATATTCCCAGTGGGCAAAAACCAGGTATTTGCTTCTTTTGGGATCCCCACAGTGCCTAGCACAGTTTTGGAAAAATTGTAACCATTCAACAAGTCCTTATTAACTGGGTAACTCTCTAAAGCATCCTCCCAAAATAACAAGTACATTATGTGCACAATCCATATTCCTTCCCTTGCTAGAACCTTATGTCAGAGAAATTTCAGTGGCTTAAACAGAGGATATAATGCAGAACAACATGCTGCTTGGATCCAAAAGGCAGAGTATGGGAGTTGGTGATTACACTAGATTTGACCTTTACAGAATTGCAGAAAGAAGACTCTAATAAATCAAGATAGATGCACACACAGCCACACCTTGAACATGTGGTGGGCTATTTACTATACCCACTCAGTTTCTTCCATGAAACAGTTGCCTGAGATGCCGATCTGAGTATGGAGAGGCCTTCCTTCTATGAATTATTCTTCTTCCCCACCCCAAAGTAAATGTCCATCTGGAAGATCTACTCAAAAAATCTTAACTAAGCAACTAACTTGCTGTCCAAAAAATATATTTATCTCAAAAAATATGAACTATCTTCAACATATATATTATTTTCCTTTCTGTCAAGCTGCATTGCTCCAAAAGATCAGATTTAAGAGCTGAACACAAAGCAACACAAGAAGACCCAATACACTAATCTGCCCCAAGCAGGGTTTTCTTTTACTACTAATTTCTAAACATACTGGGACATTTTCTTGTTTCATAGCCCTGAATATACAATCCTTCAAGAAGTTAAAAAAAGCCAGGCAGAGGACGTCAATGGTTCTATCTCCTCTTCAACTCCTCATGCCCCTCCAACCTAATCTACACTCTCCTTTAAGGTTAAAGGTCACAAGAGCCTAACCAGAAAAGGAGCTAGTAGAGCCAACTGACTCATATTGCTAGGCCCTATCTTCTCTCTGCCACAAGAGCATGATTTTCCAAGAAGATGCAATGGAAGCAGGGAGAGCCAAACCAAATGCATGGGTCTCAGATGCTCCAGATGCAGCCACAACATCTGTAGGACTAAAGGAAGAGATATAAGGAGAAGAGTAAGGGATGTAAGAAAGGACAGAAAACGCCTGCTTACCTCCTGAGTGAATCTTCCTCAGAACTTTCCTCAGGCATATCCTGATGTAAGGCCTCCTGTGATACAGTTCCAGTTCTGCTGGACTGGGTGTAAATTCTTTCCCAGTGGCCTGTCTCCTGGTTGAAGGCCACCCCCACAGTCCTCTCCTCCTGCGGACTAGCAGAGCTGCTCAACTCCAGCCTGCTGGAGCTGGGCGTATGGCCCTCAGTCCGCTCAAGAGGTGGTAATTGGCTGCCACTCGATGGCATGCCCTCAAAGGTACTGGAGACCTGCCAGGAGGAGCTGGCCTCGCCAGAGGAGTAGTTAGGTGTGGTTCTTTCCCAACGCAGGGTATCGTTGTTAAAGGTTAGCAGATTGTGGCAAGCACGACAGTGATTCAGGTGACCACGGGACAGGTTGGAGTTGTTCTCACTGCTGTGTGGGGTGGGCTGGTGGGAGGGGCCTGGCCTCTCAGATTCAATGTTATTATTGAGCATTTCCTGGGCCTGTTGGGTCTGGGGGGGTTCCCCATTCAGGCTCTGGTCCAGCTCCTGAAGCCGGTCATACTCCAAAAAGAAGCGTCTCAGGTCACATGGAAGCTCATGGCGAATGCTGCCTGAGTTGTTTTGGCTGGAGCCATTCCCTCCATCTGACTCAGTTGCCAACCCTGAAGCTGGAAAACCCCTCCCTTCTGTGGCTGAAGTGTACACAGATGCTTGAGAGCCACCTTCCTGCTGCCTCAGCACAGACAGCAAAGTCACCGAAGAGGCACTGGTCCTGGGCGGGGGCATGGATTCTGCCTCAGAGCGGGAGTTCAGACTGAGCACTGTCCGGGTCCATTCAGATCCTGTCAGTCCGGGAGCTATTTCTCGGTGATACCTAGAAGGGTGGCTAGACAAAGGGCCTCCCAAAGAGCGACGGGTGGGACCCAGACTGAGGTTGCGGAGCGTGTTGCCGGCAGTGCTGCTCTGGACTGTACTGAAGGCAGACGGCCGGTTCAGGAGGCCCTGGTCCTGCTGCGTTGATGAGGCCTGCTCCGGGGGATGGAAGGGCTCGGTCTGTACAAAAGAAAAGGAAGGGGTAGTAGCCCTGGCAGAAGCAGGGGGAACACTGTCCTGGTGTGGCAAGAGGGAAGGAACTCGAGTGCCAGAGCAGCGGCTGCAAAGGCACAGGATCCCAAGGTGCTGGCAGCACTCAGCTGTGGGGTAACTGACCCGCTGTCGGAGCCTGATGTAAGCGGAAGTCCTGGGGCGCTCCATGGAGGGCTGAGGGGGAGGCGGTGGGGGTGAGGGGGTAGCAGACTCTTGCACTGTGCTTTGCTCTCCCACCTGGATGCCAGAGGAGCGAGAGGACAGCATGTGCAGGAAATTGTGGAGGAGAGGCGTCCGGCGAACTGGCTGTGATTGCAGCAGGGCACGCTGTCGGTAGTGAGATATTTCTGTTCCATCTATGGGGATCTCTGGTTCATCATCACCCTGTAGTGTGGACCAAGGTGGGATGGAGGCAGAGCAAGACAGTTAGGTAGAACCTTTAGGTAAACCAAGAAAAGCTACTGATAATCATCCAAGAAAAACGTTCACAGACAAGCAACAACTCCACCTCTGAAGTGCTGAGAACTGGCTTCAGATTCAGAATCATCATATGGTATTAAATTATTCCCTTCCAATTAACAACATTTCTGAATGAGTACAGCTGGAAAACCAATTCTCTTAAAAAAGACATCTTCATAACACAGAGGCAGTGAGGGGAAGCAAAATGTTAACCAGCCAGAGGCACATGAATGACAACCTATCCAACACTGCCTGGTTACTTCTAATGATGGAATCACTCGGGTTTTGGAATTGACTCCCCTATTATGATTATGGCTATAACTTTGAATACAGTCTGAAGCTAGTTTTGAATACTGACTGGAGAGAAACACTCGGGCACTGAAAATTAAAGTCTAATACAATCAGAATTACAACACTAGTTTAAAAAATAAGCCACAATTTAGATGGAGTTGGAAATGCTGACTAACTTACCTGCTGATTAGAGGGGTTAACAATTGCTGTGAGTAAGTAGTGTCCAAGAGGATCAAATCTCACCAGACTGAAAACAGAAGAAGAGACAAAGACATGCATAGAGATTATGCTAACTTAGAAAAGGAAACGTGTACAAATTTATAGCAATCAATACTGTAATGTCAGATTAGTTCACCCTAGAGATTTTCAAAACTTTCAAAGAAATTACAATAGTCAAGTTCAATACTTCTTGTTATCTCCTTATACTTGCCAAAATATGGGAATCTGTATCACAAAAATAATTTCAAAAAATACCTAGACTTCATTCCAGGAAGCAGTTACATTAAGCACACATTTACTCATATCTATGAGCTCATCATAATAGCAAAGCATAGAATGCTCCCAAACTCTGCCACAAGTTCAGTTCCTCCCTTATATGGAAGCTACACTGGCAAGAAGCATGAGTCCTGGTGACAATGAACAGTTTCAGCATCAAGTAACTAGCGGAGTCTATAAGTTAGACTAGACTAGCTTATATCCAATTCTAATGCCAAGAGAGCCAAAGGAAAACTGCATCAGCTTTAATTCAGACAATGTGTGTTTTGATCTTGAGGGCTAAATAAATATCAACTGGCATATTTGATGCATACTTACATCTCCCTCTTGCAGTTTGATAAACACAGATAACTAGGGATGAACAATTATCCCTCAAGCTACCCACAACCTGAATACCTTTCCGATCTCTCACAAAAAGGGGCTCTTCCAAACCCAGATAGCTTTGAACCTAAAAAAGATTCTAATGACCCCAGTTTTCAAAGACCAGAAGATAGGCCAATAATGAACAGTTGAAATGAACAAAATTAACTACTTCCCAGCTGACTGGCCAGCTGCTGGAAGAGCAGGAGGAGCACCCTGGCCGGTGTGCTCAGTTGGTTGGGCATGAACCTGTGCACTGAAAGGATGCCGGTTGGATTCCCAGTTAGGCACATGCCCAGGTTATAGGCTCTATCCCCGATAGCAGGCATGCAAGAGGCAGCAATTGATGTTTCTCTCTCTTCCTCTTTCTAAAAATCCATTAAAATTCTTAAAAAAAAAAAAAAAAGGCAGAAGGAGCTGTAGGGATAACAATCTGTCTCCCAGGTGAAAGCCAAGTGTAAATGTTCTCTACCATGCTAATCTATACCAGACATCACTGGTGGACAGAGGACTCACCGGACCCGTTCCATCTCGCTAGCTGTCTTCACCACAGCAAAGGGCTCCCTTCGGCTCCAATCCCAGAAGTGGATCTCATTGGCAGTGGCAATTAGAAGGAGCTGAGCCGTAGGGTGGAAAGCCAGAGAGGCAATGGCATTGTTGCTATCTGTGAACCAGCTTTCACTGCCACCCTATGAATGAACCAATCCCAAATATTCTCAGGTTACCAGCTGCCAGCAAACTGAGATGACAAACTCTCAAAAGGTCCACATTTAAGGTAAAATTACTATGGCAGGGCATACTTTAAATTTGTCCTCTGTAAAACGACGTAGAAAATCAGCGATCGAGCAGTGTCACCAATTTATTAGAAAAATATTACTGTCAGTTCAGTTCTCCAAGTCTTCTACAAGCCATCAGCAACGAGCATCAGTACAGCTCCTATTTCTGAAGCCTGGGAAAACTCAAGCTTGGCGCATGACACGGTGTACAACCCACTAGCCATTCAGTAGGACAAGGAGCATATTGCTTTGAGGATCGTAATCAGAGTACTGTATAATCCGTGCTATAAGACAACAAAAATCCATCCTGAACACATGGTAGAGCATGGACGGATGGAAAAACAGTTAAATAGGGTATTCATCACAGAATGGAGGCTAGGCTTGCTATCATTTAAGTGCGTAAAGACTACCACTTACTTGGATGTAGAGATAAGAACCTGGCTAGTCTCTCCTCCAGAATTAAGAACCCAATGGTAAACAAGTCTCTGAATTGAGAATACCAAAGACAAGGAAATACTTACGTGTAAATCCCAAATCCTAACCTCCCCATCCAGGCAGCCAGAAGCAATAAGGCCTGAGATGGTGGGATGGAAAGTGACACACCATGGAGTACGACGGTGTCCAATCAGTGAATGAACACACTTGCCAGTCTTCACCTCCGTAATATAGATATTATGGTTCACATGGGTGGAGGCCAAGAGAGTCCTAGGAAATCAGAGTACAAAGTCAATGTGAAGCATGTGGGGGGGGAACAAACTATCAGCTTTGGGTGACACAGAAAATTTATACTATTCCTCATCCCAGGACAAAAAAAACTACACCTTGGGCATTACCAACAGCAGAATTCTGATCTTTAAAAGCTTCTGAATTCTCCACCCTGTCCCCAAATGACACATAACCCCTTCTGAGAATATATTTTCTAGCTGGGAAACTATCACACCATTGGTGGCCCATACTGCACACTCAAGGGATGATTATTGAAAAACTTTCCAAGTTTTGTGCCTCAATGTTCTTTGCTTATTCCTACTATTTTTATGGTTATAACTGCTCGTCTACTTTCTTTCCCTTTCTGATACACTGTCAAAACCCTGTTCATACAATGCTTCAAAGAGCCTTTAGGGCAGCGGTTTTCAACCTGTGGGGTCGCGGCCCCTTTGGCGGTCGAACGACCCTTTCACAGGGGTCGCCTAAGACCATCCTGCATATCAGATATTTACATTACGATTCATAACAGTAGCAACATTATAATTATGAAGTAGCAATGAAAATAATTTTATGGTTGGGTCACAACATGAGGAACTGTATTTAAAGGGCCAGAAGGTTGAGAACCACTGCTTTAGGGGTTTGACTTGGAGGATCAAATTAGGTCAAACACACAGAAAGCAATGCTATCACAAGTCTTAAGTAATAGATAAGTACTAGGTACCTGTCTGGGCTGAAGGCCAGTAAGAAGGTAGAGCGTGGACTATCCGGCAGTTCTACTCTCTGGGGAACAAACAGAAAAAGTTAAAAAACATTATTTATAAACTATGGCCCACTCTACCTCAAAAATACATGAATCTGTCTAGATTAGTATTCACAGAGTAAATTATCAAACTGGACATGATGAAGCTACAAATTGAGAAAGACAAATCTAAATTAGCTTTAGGAAAAATGTCTAACTGTAAAGAAAAAAGGTACTTCTAGCCCATAAGTTCTTCCAAATTTGCTTTACCAAATTTCCCTGCCCGGCCGTAGCTGGTTTGGTTCAGTGGATAGAGCATCGGCCTGCAGGCCGAAGGGTCCCAGGTTGATTCCAGTCAAGGGCACATGCCCAGGCTTGATCCCCAAAAGGGGGCGTGCAGGAGGCAGCCCATCAATGATTCTCATCATTGATGTTTGTACCTCTCACTCTCTCTCCCTTCCTCTCTAAAATCAATAAAAAGATATATTAAAAAAACACCTACCTGCCCGGCCGGTGTAGCTCAGTAGTTGAGTGCCAACCTATGAACCAGGAGATCACAGTTTGATTCCCAGTCAGAGCACATGCCCGGGTTGTGGGCTCAGTCCCCAGTACGGGGCATGCAGGAGGCAGTCAATCAATGATTCTCTCTCGTCATTGTTTCTATATCTCCCTCCCTCTTCCTTCCTCTTTGAAAGCAATTGAAAATTATATTTTCTAAAAAAAACTCCCTAAGTTACATAGTATATCTATTCTAGTACACAAAATAAATTACACCCCAACTCTATGTCATTAACCCAACTCAAGGTCCCATTCTACTGTCACCCCTGCACAAACCCAATGTCCAAAGTAACCATTTTTCTTACCTTGCCCTCCCATTTCATCCACCGGGTTTTATCTTCCACCAGCTCCTGCAGAAGCCGCTGAGCTCCAAAGGCCCGAGTGCCCCGTTCTCGCCCCCAGAGTATGCGGACAGCATTTTTCTCTGGAACAACCTTCATGGTGCTCAGCAGCCACTGTAACACCAGGCACAGGAAGAGAAGGAGCAAGCAATAGCTCCACACGCTGAAGCAGCTAAAATGAGGCCATTCAGCTCCTTGTGAGTTGTCTTCATGGAAATCTAAAGTATGAACATTAATGTCAATGAACATTAATGTCAAAGCTTCTACAGAGAAGCTTCCCATTGCAAATACGAATCTAGCCCAAAAAGAAAAGTATTCTTTTCATATTTAACTAGAGGCCGGTGCATGAAATAGGTGGGGTCCTTAGGCCTAACGGGGCAATCAAGGCCTATCGGGTCTGAGCCAACCGGGGCTGCCAGCTGCCAGGTGCAGGACGGGGCCTGCCAGACGTGGGGAGGGACCATGGGAGGTTGGCTGTGGGAGTGCACTGACCACCAGGGGACAGCTCCTGTGTTGAGTGTCTGCCCCCTGGTGGTCAGTGTGCATCATAGCGACTGGTTGACTGGTTGTTCCGGTCGTTCCGTCGTAATGGTCACTTAGGCTTTTATATATATAGACTAGAGGCCCAGTGCATGAAATTCATGCACAGGTAGGGTCCCTAGTGGCTGCTGGCCAGGGGCGCCTCTCTTCCCCCGGCCACCGCCGGCCCCACCCCCTGGTCCAACTCCCAGTGGAGGGGACAATTTGCACATTAGGCTTTTATTTTAAAGGATGACACCTTCTCAGAAATGATCCTTTCCCCAGAACTTTTCTCCAAAAATATTTCTTCCTTAAATTCTGCTCATATCCTCCATAGCTTAGCCTTTTATGTAAAGAACAGACCATTCTCTAAAGCAGTTACTCTGTTCTTATTTTATCAGACAGGAAGAACTTTTGCTACTAATAAAGAGATCTAGAAATTTATCAAAAATAAGACATGACTTCTGTGCCATGCTGCTACCCTAGTCGCTGGCACCCCTTCTTTCACTTGGGCCATCTCCAAACTAAAGGACAGGTAACAGATCTGAAGAGGCTATTACCTGCAGTATGGCTCTTAGTAGTAACTGCCATTCTACTTCCTACCAAAAAGCAAATAAGTACATGAGGACTACTTTGGAGTACCTTTCTCACTCTAGTTTTCTCTTCTCCACTAAAGTTCCAAAGTAGAGAACAGAGGAGAGAAAAAATTTTCAGTTCCTTTTTCTCATCCACCACAATCCCTAAGAACATAAAACTTACAAAATAAAAGTGCTACTAAGATGTCAACTAGCATCAAAATATATATATGTATACAAAAACTAAAGAATTGGCTCCTCTATACAATGAAATATGCAGCCCAATAAAATGGTGTTTCAAAATAAAAATGTAAATGTTATTCATTGCAGCACTGTTTCTTCAACTCTTATGAAAATTTCAAATATACAGAAAAGTTTTTAAAAGAGTGAAACATACACTATTCACCAGACTCAAGAATTGTTAGTACTTTGTCAAATTTGCTTTATCTATATCCATCAATATATGTGTGTGTTTGTTTTTTCTGAAAAACACTCTAACCTTATATACCCCATTATGCATTTCCTAGTAATAAGGACATTTAGCTTCATAACCACAATACTATTATCACACCAATTATCTAATATTCAGTCTTCATTCAAATTCCCCCAACTGTCCCCCAAAAAAACGCCTTTAATGAGTTGGCTTTTTTTAAAATCCAGAATTAAATCAAGACTCAAGCATAGAATTTGGATGCCATGTCTCTTTAGTCTCTTTTATTCTAGAACTACAGGCCCGATGCATGAAATTCGTGCAAGAGTAGGCCTTCCTTCTCCTGGCCGCCGGCACCAGCTTCTCTCCAGCACCCGGGACCTGGGCTTCCCTCGCAGCCCTGGCTTCGTCCAGAAGGACATTTGAAAGGACATCCAGTCTAATTAGCATATTATGCTTTTATTATTATAGACTAGAGGCCCGGTGCACAAAAATTTGTGCACTCGGGGGGAGGAGGGTCCCTCAGCCCGGCCTGTGCCCTCTCGCAGTCTGGGACCCCTCGGGAGATAACAACCTGCTGGCTTAGGCCTGCTCCAGGGTGGCAGAGGGCAGGCCCAATCCCTAGGTGCAGCCCCTGGTCGGGCTCAGAGCAGGGCCGATTGGGGAGTTGGGGCGCCGCCCCCTGTCATGCACAGAGCAGGGCGGATCGGGAGGTTGTGATGCCACCCTCAGTCACGCTCAGGGTAGGGCCAATTGGGGGGTTGGGGCACCGGCCCCTGTCACACTCAAGGCAGGGCCGATGGGGAGGTTGCGGCGCCACCCCCTGTCACACATAGAGCAGGGCCCATCAGGGGGGTTGGGGCTCCATACCCTGTCACACACAGAGCAGGCCCTATCAGGGGGTTGGGGAGCTCCCCCGTCACGCACAAAGCAGGGCGGATCAGGGGGTTGGGGCGCCGCCCTCTATCACCCACAGAGCTGGGCCGACCAGGGGGTTGGGGCGCTGCAACTCTCACACTCAGGGTAGGGCCGATGGGGAGGTTATGGCTCTACCCCATCACACACAGAGCAGGGCCCGTGGAGGGGGGGTTGGGGCACCGCCCTCTATCACCCACAGAGCAGGGCTGATCAGGGGGTTGGGGTGCCGCCACTCTCACACTCAGGGCAGGGCCGATGGGGAGGTTATGGCTCTACCCCGTCACACACAGAGCAGGGCCCGTGGCGGGGTGCGGGGGGGGCGCCGCACCCTGTCACACACAGAGCAGGGCTGATCAGGGGGTTGGGGCGCTGCACCCTGTCACACACAGAGCAGGGCCGATCAAGGGGTTGGGGCACCGCAGCCTGTCACACACAGAGCCGCAGGGCGATCAGGGGGTTGGGGATCTCCCCCCTATCAGGCACAAAGCAGGGCTGATCAGGGGGTTGGGGCGCCTTCCCCTGTCACGAACAGAGCAGGGCGGATAGGGAGGTTGTGGCCCCGTCCCCTGTCACACACAGAGCCGCAGGGCGATCAGGGGGTTTGGGCGCTGCCCCGTCACACTGATCCCGGTGCTGGGAGGCCTCGCGGCTCCGCTGATCCAGGTGCTGGGAGGCATATTATCCTTTTACTATAGAGGATAGAGGCCTGGTGCACAGGTGGGGACTGGCTGGTTTGCCCTGAAGTGTGTCCTGGATCAGGGTGGAGGTCCCCACTGGGATGCCTGGCCAGCCTGGGTGAGGGGCTGAGGGCTGTTTTCAGGCTGGCGGGTGACTGAAGCTCCCAACTGCTCCTTTTTTTCTTTTTCTTTTTTTATTCTGGGCCAGCTTTAGCTCTGGCTCCAGCTCTGAGGCCTCTGCTGCTGAAAGCAGGTATCTGGTTTGTTTGGGTTCTATAATCGAAACACTGTATCAACTCTAGCTCTGAGATCCCGGCGAGCTGAAAGCAGGTTTCTGGGGTTTTGTTTAGCTTCTATATTTGTAACAATGTTTCAAACTGCAAGTTCAGAGGCCGGCAAGGCAGGCGGGGAACCTTGGTTTCCTCCGTCACTGAAGCAAGCAAGCCTCATGTTAGCTTCAAGCTGCCGGCCGCCATCTTGGCTGGCAGTTAATTTGCATATCTCACTGATTAGCCAATGGGAAGGGTAGCGGATGTACGCTTACCATGTTTCTCTTTTATTAGATAGGATGGCCTTAAGTTTTGTTTTGGTTGGTTTTGTTTGTTTATCTACAACATAAGTTTTTTTGGTGTGTGTTTTTTTACAACACAAGCTTTTTTAAAAGACCAAGATAGTTGACTTACAGAATGTCTAACATCCTAGTTCTATTTAATTGTTCCTTCATAGTGCTATTTAGCTTGCCTCTGTATGCCTTATATTTCCTGTAAACAGGTTAGGTCTAAAAACCACTGATGAGATTTAGGTTGTTTTTTGGAAAATGCTTCACAGGTGATGCTAATATAAACCCCCTGGTATAGTACATCAGGTGGCACATATTCTCAGACTGTCCCACTTAGTCAGGCTTGGTAACTTATGTGATCACTTGGCAAAACATGATCACTTGGTTGGATTTGTAGCAGCCAGAAAGTTCTCTTTATAAAAAAAGGTCTATTTCTCCCTTTACAATGATAATCTGTGGCTAACATTTGGCATCATGCAAATATCTGTTCATCCTCGACCTTTTGCTTAATGGTTTAGCAGTCATTGATGCTTCTTTCTTTTTTAAAAAATATATTTTATTGATTTTAGAGAAATAGAAACATCAATGATGAGAGAGAATCATTGATTGGCTACCTTCTGCACGCCCCCCACTGGGGATTGAGCCCGCAACCCAGGCATATGCCCGTGGTGGGAATCAAACCTGGGACCCTTCAGTCCTCAGGCTATCGATTGAGCCAAACCAGGTAGGGCGATGCTTCTTTCTTGAACTGTTTCACTTAGGGGCAGATATTCTAATGTTGTCATTATTTCTACATTTATTAGCTGGCATTCTGGAAAGAACTGACCCTTAATAACTGAAGCAGATTAAATGCTTACTTTTTGGCCTTTAATAACTACTTCTTTCTTAGTGTTTATAATAACAAAAATTGGGGACAACCCAAGTGTCCATCTAAAAGGGATTAAATGGCCCAGCTGGTATGGGTTGGTGGTTGAGTGGCACCTCATTCCAAGATGTTGCCAGTTCGATTCCAGTTGAGTTGCAGACTCAATACCGGGCAGGGGGGATGTAGGAGGCAGCCAACCAATGCTGATATTTCTCTCTGCTGGATGTTTCTATCTCTCACTCCCTCTCCCTTCCTCTCTCTCTCTAAAGGTAATAAATGACCAATCTACATAAGGAAGATTCTCTGGGTAATGACAACGAGAGACCTCCAAGAGGGGGCGGGGGGAGGAAGCAAGGTACAGATCACTGTATTCAGTATAGTAATGCTACCTTTTGAATAACAGGATAACTTAACACTTATAAGAAACTGAAGGAACAAGGTGAATGGAAACAGAGATGGAAGCAAGACTTCCACCTTGTGCTTGTTTGTTTTATATCATTTTTAAATTTTTGAAATGTATTACCTATTAAAAATTTATTTTTGAAATATTTAATGATGCGAAAAATACATGTTAAGTGAAAATACATGTTAAATGAAAACAGCAGAATTGCAAAATTATATACATGGTATAATCCCGAGAGGGAGGAGAACCAAGATGGCGACATAGGTTAACGC